ACAATTTAAAACAACTTTAAGGAAAGTGCTTCATTTCTCTTTTTTGTTTCACCACTTAGAATACAATTATAATTTACCTTTCAGTTGTCACCTTTAAATGCACAAATTCAAACCCTTTCCAAAGTTTTGTTAGGATGTGAAATCTAGATGTAAAGTTGAGTTAGGCAATGAACCAAAACTATGCAAAACATCAGTTTTATTTTAGCGGGTTAGAAAGAGTTGTTTGTCTCTCTGTTGCTTCTGGCCAACACTCTGTGGTTTAGAGATTTTCTTCAGCAGCATAATCCTATAACACAAACCAAATAGCTCATTATTTGGAACAAAAGCTGAGGCTCAGCCCAAACAGAGAGCTATAATCCACCAAATGAACACTGGTGGCCATCAGTGTAGCAAAACTGGTTTTTCCCCACATCTTTGAAGTCAGAAGTCTTTCACTTTCACTAAAGGACAACTTAGAGTCACCGAATAACCTAACATGCATGTTTTTGGTTTGTGGGGAGAAACCAAAGCAGAGAACATGCAACCTGTGTGCAACTTGTGAGCTTCTTACTGTGAAGTGACAGCTTCAAAACTTTCTATTGGTTTATGAATTTATTTGAACAGCTCCACTTAAATCGTGTGGAGGATTTTCTAAAAATGATGGTGGACTCAAGAATGAAAGTCAATGGTCTTCGGTGTCAATTTATTTGAAGAAAAAATAAATAAATGAAGGGAATAAGACAATGAAACAGCAGGATTAGATGCCATTTAGCAGGCCGCAGGTCTTGACAGAGCTCAGTGAGTTTTGTCAGGACCTGCGGCCCGGTCCAAACAAAGCTTAGGGTTTGTATAACCTTGGGGCTCGTGATTCATGAAGACAAGCCTTTCAGCCTCTTGGAAGCTGTCATGATCAGAGTATGCATGAACCCCTGAGCCTTAGAGCTAATGTGACCCGGGTTTGCCAGATTACCCAGAACAAAAGGTTTTTGTTATCCAGCTGTCAAGATGAAACATCTGGATTAATGTTTTGTTTTTTTGCATTTAGGACAAACGTATTTTATGTAATTTTTCATCCACAACAAAATATGCATGCTTTAAAACACTGATATTTTTGTATGATGCAGATAGCCCACATTGTTGCAGTGTTACAAGAAAGTTGCACGTTCAACTCCAGGCTGTGAACTTGCATGTTTAGGTGCACATGCATTTTCTTCCATATCTAAGGCCATATAGTTTAGCTGGCTATCCTCTAGGGGTGAGAATGAATGGTTATTTGTTGCTCTGTGATGGATTGGTGACCCCTCATGCGCCGCACTCTACATTTTGCCCTATCATAGACAGACACGTCCTTTCCCACAACCCCAAACAGAAACAAAATAATAAATGGTTTATCCTTGATTTTGCAAAACCAACCTTAATAATTCCTCTGAGCCATATTGATCATTTGTTCTTTCACATTAATGTGACTGCCCTGTAAATTAAAATACTGGGTTACAGGAAATCTCAAAGCTAAATGACAAAACAAAATCTTCCTTACTTTCATAAATATGACTCATATCAGCCTTTCCACATTAGAACAAAATAATAATTTGAAAGTTTTTCCTCCTAGCAGGGGAGGGGTGGGTTTGAATGGTGCTGTCATCTGCATGGCAGTTCTTTCAACCCGATGGCAGGTTAGGACAAGTGTTATGAGTTTTATTCAAAGAGTACAACATCATATTAGTAACTTCATTGTTGAGTTTTGACAATAACAGGACTTGGTTTGAATTAGAAAAACATCTTGGTCAAATATTCTTCAAACACATTTCCGTTGTTCCCTGAGAGTACAAATGACTCACGCAGCCATTTTTGGAGTCAAATAATCTAATCAAAAACACAGCCAGGTGTGTTATTACAAACTTATATGTGTGACATTTTATGCTTCAAAATCTAACAACCCTGAACATTTTTTTCTTGGAAATAAAGAAGTTTCACTGGATGGAGCAAAAAATATTGCTGTGCATTTTATTCCATAAAACAGGAATATTGTGTATTTTCCAGACACATGGTTCAATTCTATACCACRGTSATGTTRCCTTCTGTTGTTGTAAAAATTCTGCATWYATCAAAAATAAATTTGACTTTGCATCATATACAAATTGGCCACGGTCTCTTTAATAACCCACTGTTTCTGACACTGCCACTTCAGCACATCTCCACAACAATGCCTCGGGAGCRGGAGCTCGGCTGGGAGGAGCTTTGTGTAAATAGGCGGTGCTTTGTACCAATACACATTTGGCAGCTCCACATGGCTACCRGGAGATTCAGGGATTTCTCCAACATGCATGAATGTGTCAAAGCAACACTCTGGGTATGTTTTCRATGAGGTAATGACATTATGATTTAAAGCTCAAAAACGTTGCATAATACCCACCCTTTAATAATAATTTGCCAGGTGTATTTTTAGTTGGTCTTTATCTCTGTTTATTGTTGAAAATCTAGTGAGAAAATGTTCATGTTTGCTGAATGATTAATACCCCTGTGTGTGTTTTATTAAGACATCTTTTAATACCTTTTGTCCGTTGTGATTTTCTGCAGCAAGGCGTCCAACTCACCAGCTGTTCATTTTATGACCATTTCTGCCAAATTCCAAGAAACTACCGTCTCCACCGATGWTCCACATAAAGAATGAATTCCTGTGAGAGTGCGTGTTTGTTCAGCACCACAGCATCGGTCCCTGGTAATGCCCCTGGATGTAGAAAAGTCCAAATAAAAAGTTTTTTCATTCAAAACAATGCAAAACAGACTCAATTTCTGCCTTTTTTGTTATATTTTCATGTTAATTCATGAGGATTGTTTTTAAAAATAACTTTTATTTTAAATGAGGGGTGTTGTTTTCATCTAAACATGTAAAAAAATGTAACCGTGACAGGAAAATAAGGTTCACTGTAATACAACAGACGTGTCAGATGTTTGCAACAGAGGAAAACCCTGCCCTTTGTCTATAAAAAAGTGTCAGAGTGCAAACCTTTTCATCCACTTGTTTGTGTTTGCACAGGTGCAGCAGGTCAGGACTGTCACCTGAGTGAGTCCTATATTAATCAGCTTCGGCCCTTATGACGAAAACACACTAATGATTACGGAAAACTGTTCAAGAGGGGTGATCCTAGTGATGCTAGAAGATCCTCACACAAAGTACAGCAAATAAAAGTACATCTTTTCTGTGATGCTTTTGGACATTTATGTCACATAAAAAAGGGGAAACTCAACTCTTCAAACTTAAATGTTTGTCTCAATTTCTAGAAGATTTTAGAGCAAACTGCTGTTCATAGTTGCCCAATATGCTTTTAGAAGCTCTACTCACCTCTCGGCTCCTGATGAATCTGCTGTCCTGCTTCTCCCCCTACTGAGCTCCTGTGGAATTTCACTCATAAGGACCAAAGAGGCAAGTAAATGATTTTAGTTGWTCAAAGAGAAAATGTACTGATAATTACAGCCACAAATGCCACCAATGTGCTCATRAGTGAATGAGAATGTAAGGAGAAAATTGCAGCAAAACAAACATTAAATAGCTATATCATGGGGAAAAAAAACAATGTCAACAATAAAAGCAAATGTGAAAATGTTGTCCATTCCCTGTCTATTGTTTTCAAAAAAAAAATGTTTTCAGATGTGCCCTTGGTTTCCTAAAAAAATAATGAAAGTAAAAACTGCAACTGGTGCAAAACATTCAAACAGCAGCTGTCACTTTCTGAATGATATATTCTTACCCAAAATGTGAACACACACAAAAAAATGTAAAGAATATACCTACTTTCTATGCTTTTTTAGCCTTAATATTAAAGAAAATAAAAATAAAATCAGGAAAAACATATTGGAGTCAGTGTTTGGGTCGAATTAAGATTAACATTGTGCATCTTGTCACTGGGTTACATGTTGCTTATTGATTACAGTTTAATATCAGCAAATCTATTATCTTCTGTGCTTTTTTTTCATTCTGTACTACTTTGTTTCCAAACTGATTACAATGCGCAATTCTCATGTCACAAAAATAAAAGAAAACCATGTATTTCACAATGGAAAACTGTACAGTGGTTTATTTATTACTGCACCGTTCGTGGTCATAAAGCCTAAACAATATACACGCTTGCAGAGTTATGAAACGGATTAAATATTTACAAGTAAGAGTATATTATTATTATTATTATTATTATTATTATTATTATTATTATTATTATTATTATTATTATTATTATTATTATTATTATTATTATTATTATTATTATTATTATTATTATTATTAGTGAGGCAATTTAAAGAACGACTTTTACAGAAAAGTAATTTCTATACGATTTATCAAATATCGATCCGTCGAAAAGTTGCGGCTCGGCGTGGCTCCGCCCACCCCCGCTCAAACCGGAAGTTTAGCTGTTGTTGTCACACTGGAAGAAAATGGCTGCTGCTCCGACTTTTTTTCAATGAAGACACTGATATTTCAATTTCATTTTGTTTCCTTGCGTCGGGACAACTGTCGACCGCTATGCAACCTCGAAGGCAAGTGGGAGCAGTTTGTTGAGACTGACGTCGCTGTGTCTGGTCGTGTCCCGGACGACGTAGGACCGCAACAATGTAGCTTGAACTTCCAGCTTTCCCCACTCGAGATGGTTAGCTGCGTTAGCCTTCACGGTCAGACATCACCGAGCTTGTTGCTGTTTAAGCCTCTCTCTGAACTGAGCTCACACATTAGAGTTTCATTCGGCACGTTTGCACAAATTTCTTGACACCGGTATAGTTTCTGTGTGTATTTAGGCCAATTTTAATCACGAATAAAGGATGGAACAACTTGGATAAAACATTTGGCTTGTTAGTTCTAATAGTTGTTTGTTTGTGGCATATGATTGATTGCCAGCCACACTATTTGCCATCAGCGTTGTCTAATCAACCTGCCAGACACTCCTGAGTGTATTTTTCTTTTTTAATTTTGTCACGTAAGTTTATTTTGTCCAGCTGCTTGAGTGTATCTGCTGTGTTTTGTTGTGCAGGGTGTGAATGGTCACTGTAAGAAGGTGACAGTGTGGGGCAGAAAGGACAGCATCTTATACTGTCACTCGCCTTGCAGCTGGCAGTGGACCACAATGGTAAATAAACTATCTTCTAGTTTATTCACCTTCAACTATTTAGCTTATTTGTACAGAAATAACTCTATAAATTAATCCATGTCAGAGAAAACCCAAGCATAATCTGTTCTTTGTTAGATTATCTTTATATTTGAGTAATCAGTTTTGTTTTTCTGCCCCAAAGCAACAAGTTTTGGAATATGCATTGGATCGAGCTGAGGTAAAATCTTTTGTCTTTGTAGAATAACATGTTAGTAACATATTGAGTGTGTTGCAAGATGAGTTACACCCATAACACCCCCCATCGTTTTTTAATTGTCGCACAGTACATTGTTGAAAGTGCTCGACAACGACCAGCCAAAAGAAGAATTTCATCTGGCGGGAGGAAGAGTTTGTATCAGAAACTCTATGAGCTGTATATTGAAGAATGTGAAAAAGAACCAGAGTTAAAGGTTGGTTCTCTTTCAGCTTTGATCTTATCTACAAATTATTTTTTTACTTGAACTACTGATTGTTCAATGGTTACACAAATAATTGATCATTTTATAGCACGGTTGTTTTCTAATCAGCTTTTAGAGCTTTTAAAAAGCTCCATAATTGCAATTCCATAATGTCTTCATTGAATTGGGCAGCTAAATGTTGAAGGTTAAATRTCTCAGAGTAAACAAGCAAAACTACTAATAGTAAAAATACTTTAGAAATGTGACTTTTTTTGTCACATCATTTATTAAACTTTAATAAAAATATGTCAAATGATTATTCAAAAATATTGCAGTTTAATTACATGTGCTTAGGCAATTGTGTTGTGTGACAGGACTGGTATTTTTGCTGATTTTTATTCACGCACAAATCATTTATCACTCTATTRAAACATTTCATTTGTTATGATAATTAATGAAGAAATAGCTTGTTTTACACTTTTCAAGATTGCATTTTGTTKTACAATGTTGTGCCTAAATGATGGGCTCAAGTTATAAAGAGCTACGTTTGTTATGTCTTTCTGAAGAATTTGAGGAGAAATGTGAATCTACTGGAGAAGCTGGTGTCTCAGGAGTCTCTGTCGTGTCTGGTTGTCAACTTGTACCCTGGGAATGAAGGCTATTCGTTAATGCTCAGGGGCAAAAATGGATCTGGTAACAGCAGTTAAACACCATCGTTTTGTTTCTCTCGTCCGTTTCACACAGTTGTCTCATCTGTAAAGTTTCTGCTTGTGTTTCTGTCTAGATTCTGAAACCATCCGTCTGCCRTATGAAGAAAGAGAGCTTCTGGAGTACCTGGATGCTGAGGAGTTACCTCCCATTCTCGTGGATCTGTTGGAGAAATCACAAGTATGTTTCTAAAGTGACCTTCGTCTGTAGTAACATAGTGGACATAAAGGGCAAAGTATTCACAAAGTTTTTCATTATTTATATCAATGTGTGGCTCATGATGAGAACAATCCTTACAGTTTTAGTTCTTTATAGTAAAATAACTATTTGTGTTTTGCTTTGTAATTTGGTATTTATAACCATTTGGTTGTTGATGTATTCTATATATTGTGTGTCAGGTGAACATCTTCCACTGTGGCTGTGTAATAGTAGAAGTAAGAGACTACAGGCAAGCTGGTAATACCAAGATTCCCACCTATCAGAGCAGGCACGTCCTGCTACGGCCAACCATGCAGGTAAAGTATGCAGAGTGGGATGATATAATTAAGTGCTTGATAAGGTGTTAAACTACTGGGAGTTAATAAATGAGCCAAAACTGAAGTCCTGCAGCATTCAAGCCTTTTTTCTTTCTTTTTGGACTATTTGCATTGTGGCTGAGCACCTGCCTTCATTTTGAATGTGTTTTTGTTTCATTCATTCATTTTATTATCCAAGAAATAATTGAAAAAAAAAAAAAAAACATGTTTGCTCTGCAGACGCTAATCTGTGACGTCCATGCCATGACCAGTGACCACCACAAGTGGACACAGGTAAAGTATTATGTTCAGTATCAAATAAATCCTAAATGGTTGGATAATTTAAGAACAGTTCTGCTGCTTACTGTGCTGCACATCATTTACACACAGCTGCTTTTTCTTACATGCATGCTCTCTAATCAGTTTCAATTATTTTTATTTTAATGCTCAGTTGTCAGTAAAATAAAATACACATTTAAAAACTAATTTCTGACTAAATACCATCACACTGAACACAGTTTATTTATATATCTATATAAATGCAAAAGTTGGCACAGAATTCCACAATTAGCATACTAAGATTATTCAGCTTGTTTTACTTACTGACTTTTTTGTAACATGCTTTAGTTTGTTTTATTTGTGCTGTTATGGTCAGTTCTGCAAAGTGAAGCTTGTTATGGCAGCTTTTATTGTTGGTTCGAGGTTTTCAATTGCTGTGAAACTGAGGGTTTCTCAACGGAATAACTGCTGTGGATCCTTAGCTCCTGAAGTTGTACAGATGTTTGTGAATCTCCTTCCTGTCAGAGTTAAAGTTATTTTTGGGCTGCTCGTTTAGATTGATGTGTTCAGTTAAAATGTAAATGTTTCAATTATATTATTTGTACAATACTCAGTTTATGCCATGCAAGAATTTTTAAGTTACATATTACAAAAAAAAAAATAGAATAACATTGCATGCAACATTTGTTTTTAGGACAGTATATATTTATGTTTTATATATTTTTTTCTGCATAAATGTGCAGGTTAGGATTTAATGTCCTCACATCTTTTCATTGTATTTTTGATCCTTGTGAGAAATAAAAACATTAAAACATCCTCGTCTACATTCCCTTCAGTCAGTCATGCGTTAACTCAGAGCAGAGTTATCTAGATTCATTCAGAACTAGTTTTTCCTAAGTCTAAGTTGTTTTTTTATCCGAGTCATTTTGGGACTCATTTCGATGTTTTTTCTCCTTTTCTTCATTGCTCCAGGATGACAAATTGCAGCTGGAGAGTCAGTTGATTTTGGCTACAGCTGAACCTCTGTGCCTGGACCCCTCCATTTCTGTTACTTGCACAGCCAACCGCCTGCTCTACAACAAACAGAAAATGAACACTCACTCCATGAAACGGTACTGAATGTGCTCGTCACTGTTGGCCTGAGCTCAGTTTAAGTTTAGTCATACTATTTTTTTTTATGGAAATGGAAAACATTAAAAGAGAAGCTTGGTGTTGAGTGTTTAAAAAAAAGGGAAATTAAGCAAACTGTTTATCCAACACATGCTTGTTTGTTTGCATTTTAGGTGTTTTAAGAGAAACTCTCAAGCTGCACTGAACAGGCAGCAGGAGTTGTCGCATCTGCCTGTGCCACCACAGCTACGACTTTACGACTACCTACAGAGGAGGAAGGAGAGGAAGCCTGCACCTGTAGACCTCAAGATCTCAAAGGTTGGAAACGTAAGTAGTCAACATTCACACACGGGGCTAAAAGTTTGTAAACGCCAAAGTGTTGAGCCGCCAGTCATGATAAGCCTGTGAATAAACCYGTCACAATCACAAATTTTGCTAGATGATAAATTGTCTCAGAAATTATTGCGATAAACGATAACATTTTTAGGAGACCACTTTAATATAACACAACAAAAGCTACTGAAGCCGTAAAATGACTACCTTCCTCTGGCTTTGTAAAATAATGGTTAGAAAAGAGGGAGACACAAAGAAAACAAGCAGCCAAATGAAAATGATCGACCTTTTCATTTATCATGCGATAAATTGATTTATTTCTTATTGTGACAGGCCTATCTGTGAAGTTTTTCCAAATTAAATAAAAATATAAACAAAGTAGGGCTGTGAAATGATTAATATTTTTAATCTGATTAATCCCAAAGTAGCTGTGAATTAATCATGATTAATCTTAAATTTAATATACATTTCTATTGCATATTGATAAAATTAATTACTTGAGTTATTAATTAGTTTTTAATGTTTTTATTTAGAAAACAAAATTGATTCTTAGACATGATTTTTAAAATATAAAACAGGACCTAAAAATGCTCCAACATTCACACTGCAGGCAAATTCGACCCAAATCCGATTTTTTTTGACCCATCTGACTCATCCGATTTTTTTATGACAGTCTGAACGAGACAAATCCGATTTTTTCAAATCCGACCCAGGCCGTTTCAGTATGTGGTTTTAAATCGGATACATATCTGATGTTTTCAAAGTGACTGCAGTGTGAGCGCTCATGTCACATTCATCTGACTTTTTCATCAGGAGGAGGGGCTGAAGGACCGATAAGACACTAACCTCAAGTCTCGCTGTTTAAATCTGTAGCTCCATGTGTTTACAGCTCCAAAACACAAGTCCAGTTGTTTCATCTTTTTACTTTTCATTTTCCGCGTAGATAGTATGATAATAATGATGTCCAGCCTGGGTCGCGGAGAGTATCGATCCTAAAGTTAGCTACTCGGTCGATACTTTTTTCCAGCTCGTAGTTTCGTTAAAAAAAAAAAGCTTCACTGAAGCATCCTGGTCAGAAGCAGGTTCAGATATAAACACTAAAGAAGCATGTCAGATAATTATTTAATCGGCTCTGATTAAACAACAACTTCAGATTTGATGCGCAAAATGTAGCATCCATGCTAGCTCTGTAAACAAACAAGCCGGCTGATGAGACGTCACGTCTTTTACTGCGCATGCGTGTCACATCAGTGCTGTGTAGCGTTCACACACGGGTCTGATACAGGTCACATTTAAAATGTAATGTGAACGTTCACACAAAAAGATCAGATTTTTTCAAAAAATCGGAACTGAGCATTAAGACCTGCAGTGTGAACGTAGCCATAGTTGAGTCAGTTAAATTTTGTGCAGAATAATGAGGTTAAATCAGGAATTCAAAGATTTTTATTCCCAATGAGTACTACATGAGGACTGAAAGATAGATACTAAGGTCACAGTTGTCAGCAAAACATAAATAAATAAAATAAAATAAGCCATAAGAAGACAAAAAGAAAAAAACTGTACATAATGTGTTACACGTGGAGTTTTTTTTTTTTATTATCTTATTTATTTAACCTTTATTTATCCAGATTAACTGTTTGAAAACCACTTCTCATTTACAAACATGACCTGGCATGCACTGAGTGCATTGCAATATACAAACCTACAGCAAAGTGAATGTAAATTTTAATCATGATTAAGATTTTTAATCTATGCCCATGCAGCACTAAAATTAATCAGAGTTAATCCGATTAATTTCACAGCCCTAAAACAAAGGGATGTCTTATTAGAAAATGTTTTGTATTTTTGTTCACTTGATTGCTTTTTTAATCCCCTTTTTCCCTCCTTCCCTRTCATCCTTACAACCTTTCCAGTGTGTCGACATGTGGAAGCAGAACAACTGCCAACTAACTGTACCAAAGGAGATTGATGTAAGTAAAACTAAATATTTTGTAGTCTGGCTGTTCGAACGTGACACGTAGCAAACCCTTCTGCCATTTCTCTCTAGGTGGAAAAGTATGCTGTTGTTGAGAAATCTTTGCAGCTGGAAGACTCTCAGCCCACTACTGTGATCTGGCCTGCTGAGGTGGGTTTGGTAGGAGCCAGCTTACACCCCTGAGGGTACAGATCAGTGATTGCTGTCAGAAATAAATTTTTCAAAGAAATATGCAATAATCCGATAGAAAGTAAGTGAATTCTTTGATTTGCTACTTTCAAAATGACGTTTTAATGTACATAAAAGTGAACAGATAGAGAAATGAACTACAAACTGCAGAAAAATGTGGAACAGTTTAAATTTCACACCTGCTTCYACTATTCTGAATAAAAGACCCAAGTGGATTGTCTATAAACCATGTCAGGCACATTGTTTCTGATTTTTTTCCTCATAATTTCAACATACTTCATCTTTTTGGAAAGGCACTGAAGTAGAAATAATATACAGATGTTGATCCCTAAAATTCTCWGTACTAAAACAGTCAAGTTCTCAAAACAGTGATACTAAACTGAGCCTGAATTCTTATTATACATTTGTTACCTTTTTAAGGCAAAAACAGCAGTTTTCAAACTCTAACCTTCCCTTTTGTTTTCTTTTATTAAATTTGAACATAAATTTAAAAACTTAACCTTCTCACTGGGTTCCACAGAGYAGGATGGTGGAGGATGATGTGTTTATTTACTAGCTTGATATTTCGGGGGTGAAAAAAACAGCTAGTTTCTTTTGTTTGTGTAGGAAGTTATAGATGACTACACGTTCGAGTGCGAAGTGGGAGGCCAAGCTCAAAAGACGAAGGTTTCCATCATCCAGTCAATGGGAGACCCGCTGGTGTACGGGAAGATCTGCTGTGCGAAAGACAGAAGAGCAGAGGAGGACGGAGCAGACCTAAAGCTCATACATCCGCCGTAAGAACCATCAAGACTAATTTACCATTCCTGATGGAGCTTAAAGCACTGCTTTAAATTTGTTTTTCTCTCCTTTATTGTATTTAGTTTCCTCATTGGGTCAAAGATAGACGCAGAGAGGTGAGTCATTTTTGGCCTTTTGTTCACATGCTGATATTTTTCAGCTGTTTTTAATGTAYATGTTTGCAGTCCGTTAAGAAAGCATGATGTGCCTTTTTCATCTGTTTCATAGGTTTCTTACTCAGTACAAAGAAGTGTATGAGAGAGATGTAAAGTGTGAGGTCAAGATGTCCCACCACTCAGGCAGTGTGGGGCACTGCCTGAGTCCCTCCCCCAGCAAAGATGAGGTAAGTWCCTGTCTACCTAGTTCTTCAGCTTGGTTAAAACAGATTCAGCTGCCATGAGATTAATGAATGTCTTTATTGTGGTTTGCTGTGGTGTCGTCTGCAGGGTGATGGTGCGTCTCCACTCGTGCAGACGTCTGTATTGGGAAAAGGAGTGAGACATCGGCCTCCTCCCATTAAACTGCCTTCTGGATCGGGCAGCAGTTCCTCAGGTACAGTTTAAGAAGTGCAATGGTTTCAAATGAGTCACTAATGCTGCAGAGTTGCAGAAAGAAAAAAAGTTACAAAGACTCTGGTTTCTAAGCTGCAGCAAAGGTTTTCAAATTGAAAAAATAACATTTAGGTTTTATGTAGTGGGTAAGTTTGGCAAAGAAAGAGTGAGTGTTTTTTGTTAACAAAACAGACGGTACGATATCCTCATACACAAATACACATACACAAAGATACCAAGTACATTTGTCCTTAAGGGGTTTACATCCACGGTTCTTTGATCTAACACTGCATAATTATGACCGTTTTAAATATTATTTCAGGTAATCCATATAGTTCACAAACTACCAGTGGTCTACTTAAGTGTCCTACGCCGCCGCCGCCTCCAGCCAAAAGCCAGTCTCTGAACAGGAAGCACTCCATGGAGCTGGGCCAGATGGGCCTGCTGTCGCCTGCCTCCCTTTCCCCAATGGGATCCACACAGAGTGAGTACAGCCAAGTCTGACTAACTCTTGGGCTTACAAGGAGCCGTTGGACTGTCTTTACTGTCAGCTTCCAAGTTCTCCAGATGTTGGTTTTTTTGGGGAGACAACTGCTGATGAATTACCCTGACAAGAGTCCAGGTGTTGAAATATGGAAAAACATGGAAATGAGCATAAAGCTTTAGGGATGTCACAAAATGAGCATTTATAGTTCCAGAGAAGCTCAGAGCTTGTTTTGACCAACTTTCCACTTCTTAGGATCGGGAACCCCCAAGCCTTCTACTCCCACGCCCACCAACACGCCATGCTCAACCCCGCATCCCACCGACTCCCTCTCTACTCCCCTCTCGTTGACCCCGACCCCGTCGGATCCCGCCATGGTTCAAAGCCAATCGCAGCCTCCGCTCCTCACACCTTTCCCCCAGCAGCAGCTGGCTCTAAGCCAGCCCCTTCCTGTCATGACCATCCCCCTGCCCACCATGGTTACATCCATCACCACAGGGACCAGCTCGACGCAGGTCATGGCCAACGCACCAGGACTGAACTTCATCAATGTGGTCAGCTCTGTTTGGTACGAAAAGAGATCATCTCTGATAGCACCATGTCACTTTTTAGTAATATGCTTTTTTTATTTCATGGTGATTTGTTTCTGTTCTGCAGCAGTCCTCAAACTTTAATGAGTGGTTCCAGCCCCATGCTGGGTCCGGGGCTGAACCTGAGTGGAATCCTGCCTTCTGCGGGGTTGATGCCCACCATGCAGTCTGCAGCTCAGACAGGTAAATCTTTCTGGATTGATTTTGTACGAAACAAGAACTGATGTTTGGCATCCTTCTTACGTTTTAGGATTGCCAAAATCAGTAAAATTTAAGAGACTACACCAAAATAACTTAGATGTGTCACACTTTTTTTCTGTTTTTTTGGTCTGTTTTAATTGCATCATTATTAGGGTTGGGCTGTATTGATTTTTTTTTCATACCGACACCTTAGATCATATTACTGCAGCAGGACGGAGCAGCATGTGAGGGATGTATGATCTGTGTTGTTTCTCCTGCTCTTGCCGCCGAACTTTATTCAACTTCACATCTTTTTAATTTTTTTCTTCCTGTAGATTTTTTTTTTTGACACCTTTCAAAATTTTTTGGCCTCTGTCAGAAAGGAGGTCACGGACCTATATGTTTTTTCAGCTCAAGAGAAAGATAAGACCAATGGGGGATTGAGCTGTTTGTTTCCCATGAGAGTACCATGTTTCCTTCTGCCTGCCACTGCAACAAATAGAGTGGTCATGTTCAGGGGAAAAAAAGTTGTGTATACTATTTATCTTAACTCCGGTTTTATTTAACCTATCAAAACTATTTAAAAACTGGTGTATAGTTTGAAGTCTCTACTTTTACACAAATTGAAACAGAATTTTAAAAAAGTTATATGACTAGGCTCCAAAGGGTTAATATACAGTCATAATTTTTAAATACCGTCACCGTATTTCAAAACCACAATACTGTCATACCACCCAAGCCAAATAAAAATGATGTCTTACGTGGAAAACCTTCAGAAACGTCTAAAACCTCGAGTTTGAGCCTACAAGAAGAAACAATATATCTACCATTCAAGTAAAAGAAGTCACAAGTTTCTGTGTTAAGTTTTTCATTATGATGTGGGGTTTATGTAACTCTTTTGTGTTGCAGGGAGCCCCTTTGGTCTAAACAGCAGTGCTGGGTTAAGACCACTAAACCTACTACAGGTACGCCTCTGTTAAAGAGCATGCTCTTAGTATTTGTCTGGTATAAAGAGTCTGTTTTGTATTTAGCAGTGCTACCACATGATGTTTAAATTAAGAGCACAGTTTCAGTTTTCTAATACATCATTCACTCGTTCACCTCATTACATAGCCAATGCATTGAGCACTAATTGTAAAAGCACTTGCAGGGATCGTTTCTAGCTGATGCCTGACTTGAATGTAACTATTCATTGTAACGTTATTCTCTACATGCAGCATAAGCTTTTGAAAGTGAAATAGTCACAGAAGTAAACAAATAAATCTGAGAGTAGCTGGAGCTTTTACTAAGAATATTCATTTTAAACTTTTTGGTAGTTCTGATTGTCTGGTAGTGAAAGAAATCCATGATCAGCTCCTTTTAACTCTCCTGTTTCTTTCCTTCTCTTCTTCCCATTATATGTACATAATGTCTTTTCCTCCTCCCTTCCTCCTACCCTCTGTTCATCCTCACCTCCTTGTGTTTTACTCCCTCACTTTGTGTTCCTTGGTATGTCCATGCTGTTTATCTGCAGATCCCCACTGGTCCTTACATTTTTAACTCTCTGCAGCAGCAGCAGCTGTCCCAGTTCTCCCCTCAACAGAGTCAGTCAGCCACATCCAGTCCTCAACAGCAGGGGGAGACGGTGAGGCACTCACTTGCAACTTCATGCATTAAAGACTACACTCAGAAGAAAATAGTTTTAGATTTTAATTTTTTTAATTTGAAAATAGACTATTTAGTAGTTTTTTGTGCATGCACATAGTGGAACCTAACTTTTCCAGGTCACAGGTTATTGAATATAAACAAAGAGCTTTAGCTGGAAAYGCCATTGAGCAGATTTAACAGGTTAAAAAAAACTTTTCTAGCTTAAAGAAATGTATGAAAATTCTTATCTATGATCTTAAAGTAAAATTTAACACAAATCAGTTTAGTGCAAATACATCAGGTCTGTATAACAGTGTAAGTTGACCAGTTGAATTTGTTTGGGTTCCAGTGTTTAGATCATCAAAAATGTGAGCGTGGCTGCTTCGCACATGCACATTTGTAACTATTTTTAACTACAAAATGGTCTTATTATGTCATAGAAAAAGTGAGCTGAGCAAATCAACTGTAACTTTTAAAATGTTGAAACAAGAAGACTTTTAGTTGCACATGTTAAAATTTCAGTTATTGTAGCAAATTATAAACTTAGCATCATGTTTGAAACTTGATCCTGTGCATTTTGCATTTTATTGGAGATTGGAGTCTGTAATAACTGGGTCTAAACTTTTTGTTTGTTTGTTTTTCTGAGCAGCTTTTGGTCCATTCAGTCCACTCATTAATCCAGTTGCTTTAATTTTATGGCTGATCATTGTCCCAGGTCAGATTCACTAAAGAAAAGAAATATTTAGAAAAAGAAACTGATCCAAAAAAAAAAACAAACAAACAAAAAAAATAAAAAACAGATGACTGAAACGTATTGAAAAGCAGCACAGCTTTAGAACCAGAATCTGAAAGTATTTAAATGACCTAACTGGCTCAGTCTTACATAAAAACAAGTTGAATAATTAAAGGGAAAAGTCCAACAGCAGTGTGTTTTCATTCAGCACATATTTGACTCAGTGTGTGGTCCTGTTGTTGTCTTGTGTTACTTTGTGACWTCTTTTTCAGAGTGACCAAGGGTCAGATCAAAGTTTAGGAAACCAGCAAACTGCTGTCATCAACCTCGGGGTGGGAGGCTTCATGTCTCCACAGGCAGCAGGTATGATCCACACTTATGTCAAAATCCACATTACAGCCACACATTTATTCCTCTGAACATTTAGTTTTTCATTCACTCCTTTAATCTGCTTTCTCACAAAGTGACATCATCTCACTGACTACCACTAATAAGATGAGATTCACTTATGTATTCACTATTGTACAAACTTTTCATAATTTCTGAGTCTGTAACTAAACATGATCATTTTGTTAAAGTTAGCTATTGTTCTTCTCAAAGGGACATTTAACAACTGACAGGAGAGACTCAACTTTCCTCCTCTTCTCTGCTACATTCTCTATTTTTCTTTTCTGTTTTTGTTTTTGCCCCCACCCTTTTTCTTTACCCTCTGTGCTTAAATTCCTCCCCCTGTTCCTTCACAACTTTTCTCATTTGTGCTTTTTGTCCATAATTTTCGGACTATTCCTACACTGTTTATGTTTTTGTCTTCTTTTGTTTTGTCTTGCTGTGTGGTTTTACCTTTCCYGAAACCTCCCGTTCTCCCCCTTCGTCCTGATCAACGTTCTCCTCTTCTGCTTATTTGCTCCTCATCCGTCACGCCATTCCTCCTTCTGCTTGTGTCCCTCTTGCCGTCACATCCTTCCCCCTGAGGCTCCCTTCCTCCCTCCTTCCCTCCCCTTAGTGCTGTCCCAGTTGGGCTGTGGGCTGGACGGGTCTGGGCCCCCGCTGCCTTCTCCAAGGCTTCAGCAGCAGCACCAGCCACAGATCCAAGTAATACAGCAACATTAACATTCATGTACACTTATGATGTACACGATTATGTGTATTATGCCAAATTTCCTAAATATTAAGGTGTTTTCTTCCAATTTTTGTATTTGTAGTAAATGCAAATCACACTTTAAATTCTACAGCATAGATTTTAAAATATAATAAACTGAGAATCGATTTTAGAAATATATTAAAATTTAAGACAGTCTTTTTTAAGTGAGCAATCATACTGATCTTAGTTTGGTGAATCAGGGAGAAATCCTTACGGGAAAGCTATGCTAATAGCTACCTAGCAAGAACTGTTTAAAGGGATCCATGATTAGTTGTAACATTAGACTTTATTTGATAAACATATATTTTAACTGTAAAATAAAGACTGTAAAAATACTGTAGGATGTTTAGTTTTTATAATTGTTAAACTAAAAGTTTAAAAATATATTACACGGACGGGGCCATTTTATTTACACACAAAGCATTCTGGGTAAATTATGACATGGATAGGGCCTTGGTGCAAGGCTGCTAGCGAACTATATCCACCCTGAAGGTTAATCTTGGACAATATCTGACGATTGGCTCTTTTAAATGAAACCAGAGAGCGTTGCATACATGTCAACCTCTTCGGACGTTTACCAGTATAAAAAGCCTCAAAAATCCGTAATTTTTGCTAAAAATCCGTACAACTCGCACTTGGGGGCAGGGGGCGGGGGGGGTGTCAGTTGCGCACAAGAAAGCACCCGCTGCGTAGCAGGAGGAGAGGAGAGCAGAGAAAGTTCAAAACTTATTTCTAGAGGCAGAACAGGTTGGAAGAAGGCTATTTGATGTTATTTAATGCTTTTTAAATCATCCTACAAGCTCTGGCATGTTAGATGAATTTGAAAATGAGGTTTTGAAAAAAATCCGTATGACTTGAAAAAATCCGTGAGATTGCTCTATACGTCCGTATACCTGCAAAATGACGTAAAATCCTTATAACTTACGGACAATCCGTACAAGTTGACATGTATGGCGTTGACAGAGAGGAGAAGGTAGAAATGACTCAGCTGTAACTGAAAATATGGATGGAGGACAACAGAGCTGCTTCATGGAAGAAGAACCTCAGCTTAGCCTGTTAGCCTTCGCGCTAATGCCAACGCTATATAGCCTTATACAGTATGTATTAGCTCTGCGCTAGCGCGACAAACAAGCTAAACTGAGGTCCTCCATCCATATTTTCAGTTACAGACTGAGTCATTTCTACCTTCTCCTCTCTGTCAACGCTCTCTGGTTTCATTTAAAAGAGTCGATCATCAGATATTGTCCAAGATTAACCTTCAGGGTGGATATAGCTCGCTAGCAGCCTCGCACCAAGGCCCTATCCATGTCATCATTTACCCAGAATGCTTTGTGTGTAAATAAAATGGCCCTGTAATATACTTTTAAACTTTTAGTTTAAAAATGATAAAAACTGACCATCCTACAGTATTTTTACAGTCTTTATTTTACAGTTAAAATATGTTTATTAAATAAAGTTTAATGTTAAAACTAATCATGGATCCCTTTAAGAGTAAAATGACAATATAAAACAAGTCAAACTTAAGAACTTCATACAGGTTTGAGTAAACACTGTATTTAGTGTTTTTATATTGGGTTTACTTTTCTAGACTACACGAGTGTTGCATTGTGTAGTTAATCTCGTCAGTGATCAGCTGTGCCACATTATTTTGCAGGTTGTTTGAAGATGATATGCRTTTCTGAAAAGATGAGAAGATTTTTATTAATGCAGAACGTAGACATATATACATAGACCAATTGTCTGATGGAGGTCACAATCAAATTTTTGCAAAAAACAAAGTTGTGCATTAAGATCTTTAATTTAGCGTTTACTCAAACTGTTTTGACGTTTATGAATTTGGGGCGTTTCATATGGTGAAAAAGTCATTATTCACCATGACTCACAAGCAGATTTATTCCTCTAAGAAATCCTTCCTCATTTTTCAAACAGGGATCACACTGATTGCTATGTACTGCATGTAAAATACTGGTAACTCCACACAGCCCCACTTAAAATACCCAATTATTTTGATTATTTAAAAGTGTAATCGAATTTTTAATTTTCATCTAAATCTGACTTTACCACATATTTTCCTATTCAGGAGCCACACCAGTTCATGTGTTGTATGTTTTGTTAGTTGATTTTTTTTTTTTTTTTTTTGATGAAGACCACAGTAGCTCCAGCGCTCCTAGCAGCACCAAAGCTTTCGGCACTTTCAAAGGCAGCAACTAACAGTGTGTCAAACTGGGAGGCAGGCATGTTTTACACAGATCTTAGCCATAGGATGGTAAATATTTTCATTGGCTCTGTCCTGTTGAAGGTTTCCTGGTTGCATCATGAAAGAAATGATAGGCTGTTCCACTGCAGGCATGAATTTTTTTTTCCTTTTAAAATTGTTGACTTCCTCTCTGAGCCGAAAGCACGGTTCCTAAGCTGCATGTTTGTTGTTTTTCGTATTTTTTTGCTGGGATCTCAGCCAATAATTTGTCTCCAGACAACACTGGTGCTGCTTGACTGCATCCTGCCTCACTCCCCAACACCTCCTCTCCCTCCCCTCTGCAAACCATTAACATCTTTCCTATATTTCTCTGCAAACCCTTCTTGTATGTTGTACATATCAGCCTTTAGTTCGGTTTCACTAACCCACACCACTGTGGCACAAAGTATTCTGAGGATGTAATTTGATTCCCATTTCAGTGAGGAAGTCCAGCATCTGTAATATTAACCATGCAAGATGTTAACTGATTGGAGTACTTTGGTGAAAATCTAATATGTTTTATCCTTGTTTTTATTGCACAGTTGCAATTCTTGCAGCACCAAATGCAGCAGCGAATGGCTATGGGAGCAGCAGCTCCTCCGGGGGGAGCACCACGGCAGCATACCGCCAGTCAACCAAGAAGTAAGAGGAAGAGGAGCACACCTCAGCCTCTCTCTAAGTCATAACAGACTGACCACACTAAAGCCCCTTCCCAGCTACACGAGGACATAAATATGATCTATACTGTGCTTTTTGTCTGCCTCAGTTTGGAGAAAAGCAGACACAAAAAAAAGACTTTTTTTTTCTAGCTGATGAATTTGTATGTATTGGTTCTCAGAGGTTTTGGAAAACCAAAACGATGTCCACTGTGGAGGATCAGGTTTTTACAACAGGGAGCACTAAGCTCACAGAATCTTAGTGATATTTTTTGAGATGATCGAGACGACGACGGGTCTTGTAGGTAACGAGCTTCCACGGCAACACATTTCTACTTTTAGGATGACTTTTCGTCTCTGCGGTGGCCCCGTGGATCGAGAGGGTCACGATTCTCAGAGCATTTTACATGAGGCTGCCGTGTCGACTCCGGTAGAAACTGCCCTTTAAGCACAGATCCTAGCTGGGCTTACCGACACCAAATCCTCCGTGTGAAAATGCAAACCTGGAGTATCGCCTGGGGGCAGCTCTCTACCTCTCAGTCCGTTGGAAGCCTCTCCTGTTAGCAGTTCGGGCACACAGGGCTCACACAAGGACTGGAAATCAACATGCAAGACAGTTTGCTTTTGTACAGCATATTTTGGAAAGGTGTTACCTTTTAATAAGTCCAGGACCCATGAGCATATTCTTACATGACTTCAGCCGAGTGTGAGACATTTCTGGACACTGAAAAAAATACTTTTTTAAAGCCGTCTTTGTCAGCAGTTTTATTGTTTAAAAAAAGAATATATATTGACAGTGGAAAATACAACTTTTAGATAAAAGCTTTTGTCTGTGTGTTGTTATTTTTCTGTTTTCAAGCTGTGTGTGACTTTCTCGATGAGCTTCTGGATCTCTCTCTGTCGTGTTGTTGCTAGGTTGATGCACTCCTGYAGCTTCTCTCCTGACAGAGACGATCCACCTGGAGACATTTCACAAGAGATACAGTTACTGGCTGCGTTTTTTCCTACTTTCTTTCATCCTCAGAGTTGTTTAAAGCTTCTACATCGCAGGAAACTACAGAGAACTATTTGCTGCTTCTAACCTGGTTTGTGTAGCGAGCAGAGTCGATCGTCCTCATCCGTCACCACAGTGAGCCGTGCAGTTGATAGACTCTCCTCCTCGGCTGTCGGGTCGACAATAAGTACAGAACTGCACAACGACAAAGTCCAATTAGGCGGATTTAACCAACGACAATGCAGAACTTCACCAAAAGAGGCAAACTTACTCGTCAAAGACACAAAAAGAGGTGCCGACTGGATGTTTATGAATACGAAGTCTGCGTCTCTTTTCAAAATTCACCTCTGGCGTACACGTCTCTGTGTTGATGCTGACCTCTGGGAGTCGAGCTTTTAGGAAGCAAATAAAGCTCCATTTAAAGACTGATTAAATTTTAAGATAACTGCTCCAAGTTTAAAAAACAAAAACACAATGTCTATTGTTAAAACGAAATCCCTACATATTAAAAGGAAGGTGAATAATTTTGTTTTTCCCCTCTTTAGTTGAAGTGAAGGACGTACTGTTTCTCAGGGCAGCCAACAGAGCGATGACAGAAGCATCCAGAATGTTCCCGTCGTAGTCCAGACACATGATGTCACAGTAGAGGACCCAGCAGAGCTGCAACGAGCATCAGCTGAGTTCAGACCCAACATTTCCACCAATCACAGCCATCATTTATCTACTCGGGTATAAATTAACCTTTCCTCTGTCGACGCACAAGTCTTCTGTCTTGAKCACCTCAGAGCTGCAACACACACACATATTAGAAGTGAGCACACGGCATGTTAAAAACTACAAAAACCTGTTAAAATTTTTGTCGGACCTTTCTATAACATCTGCAATGAACTGGCTGGCAGCCTGGGCCTGTTCTCCAGGTGGACCCGGCCGGAAGCGGGATGAACACAGAGGTGGCAGGTCCACGTTGGGCACTTCAAAAAAACAGAGTTAGAGTCTGCATTTGTTGCTGCAGTACAACCCGAATCATCTTAACGTTTAGAGGCTACAATCAAAAGGTACCACAAATCCGAGAAACTGTTTGTTGCATAACAAAGACGAGGATGTGACTTGTTTTAAATAAGCACTTAAGACTTTTGCACCGTGCTTACCAATGTAACCTTTACCAGGTGCATCAACAGTAGGGTTAGCCAGCTCCTGCACAAAAACAAATCAGTATGTTTAAAGGAAAATACGAAAGTACTAATAAAGCTAATAATTAACCCAGGATCAATAAATGGTTGCTAAATAAATGCTTGAGTATAATCGGCTAAACTGGAAATGTAGGATTTCTTTAACTGGGGTTAAAAAAAGKTTACAATAAAAGATCCAACCAGGTKTTTGAACTGTTGTGGTGGTAAAGTACCGCTTTGACTCCACAGATGATTGTTGTGTTTCCCATCTTCACCAGGGCTGAGCCATCTGCTGTGGATATGGACCCTGATCAAAAAAATAATAAAATGAATGACAAAATACAGCGTGCACTGCAGGGGGAAAAAACAAACAAACATTTATGACACTGAACCAAAATAATCACTGTTCCTCACCAATATTCAGTGTCGTGGTTCTGAATTCAGACAGCTCCCGTCCATCAGGTCTACAGTTTTCTTTCTGCAAATTGAAAGTCCGCAGAGTAAATAATACTGATCTAAAATAAAACCATAAAAAGTAATGGRTTACAGAAAGACAAATGATTCATTAACAAACCAGGAAGCTCCTGTGATACTCCAAAGGCTCCGCAGTCCTACATGAAACAAAACAGATTAATCAAATTTAGTTGCAAACGAAAACCAACACAAAGCAACAAAAGAGGAAATAAGATCTAATTAAATAACTAATAATCTCATAATAGACTCATGATACGAACAAACTTAACAGAAATTGACACGAGAGCGATTTACTACTGTATTAATTATAGTTTGCCAGCAATAAAATCGTATATGTAGTCATTAATGTGCATTTGGTTGAACGAGCTTACTTGAATCCAGCCGCCATGTTGTTTTGATCACCCACGTGTGCTACGGTGGCCGACAGGGGAAACTKRCTWGCAAAAATATCGCTTCTCGTTATGAGATTGAGACATCATTGAGGACGATTCCATGTGYATATGGACTGTTCAGTCCCCAAATATGCTCTAGTTTAAATATTTAAACAAATGCTAACATTTTGTTCACGTTTGTGTTTATAGTGAATACATTTAACATTTTTCACAGGAGATAAATGTTATTTATTACACACCTAGTATTATCTAGATTACATGTAAAACCAAGTGAAGTTCTACGGAATATGATTAACCTCTGTTTAACAGGGTAATTTAATCTGTTATTCTCACTAAACTCCTGGCCAGTAGRTGGCAGTATTTTTAATGGAAACTGCCACGGAGTTTCGTGTTCCTTCTCTTTTTAGCGGAAGTTATTGTTTTACGACACATCATCATCTTTTGATGACTTCCGCGTCGCTGTTGTGTGCAGTGGTGATTGGAAGTGGAGTTCASTGAACAGCTCAGTGAATGATGGAGACATAAGAGCTTTGCAGCGCTTCTTTTGTCTACACATTATCCCGATCTGRTTTCTTGTTTTTAAATGCTGAGAAGTCAGAGCGCTAGCTGGAAAATACGAAGCCAAACCAGGGTAAAAACAAGCTAGCATTTCAGCTAGCCACCTGAAAGGTGATCACTGTCAGTGGCTRAAGAGCGATTTAATGAAGGATGGATCTTCTCTGGGAAATAATTCAAGTTCTCGGAGTATTGGCAGTTCTTGGTTTGATTGTGGTGAGTAATATAAAGCTTGTAAAAAAACATATTTGCTGTATAGTTGAGCAAGTAGTTTGAAGACAGGAGCTAATTAGTATTTTAAAGTTTTGTACCCATGTCATTCCCATGAAAGAAATATAACCCTCCGCAGTTTATGTTTATACCTTTTATAAAACTTTAAATATTACATATCTGAGAAAATGTTTGCTTATACGTTATTATAATTTGCTAATACAGCTAAAATATATATATTTGTCAAAACAACAAGTTGATAAAACTGGAAAAGAAAACTTCTTTAAACTGTAAAATAATCACCTTCCATCACCACCAGGAGTTGGATGAGTTACATTTTTATAATACTTACTTTTCAGGTGCTCATGATCGCACACCTGACTGCAGGGATGCTGAACGTGAAACGACACAACAAAGAGAAACACTTCCTCACAGCCTCAGGAGAGAAGCAGCTCTTCCCAAGCCTTCACGATCCCTCCTCCAGGGATCTGTCTGTGGTGGTCCCTGCTTACAACGAGGAGCGCCGAAGTGTGTGAACCAAGATTTCTCCATTTTTCACATGAAACTTTTGCTAATTTTTAAAACCAATCAAATTTTTATCCCATCATTCAGTTTGATCAGGTGTCATAACAATGTGAACAGTACTTATGTGTGCTTTGTTTTATTTCAGTGCCTGTGATGCTGGATGAAGCCATGGATTTCTTGGAAAACAAACAGGTAGCCATTACATTTATAAATTAAATTATATTTGTAATTTTTAAACACCAGCTCAATAACGCACAAATAATAAACATGAAAGCATCTTCTGAGAAACATCCATCCTTAAATGTTCATTTTACTGTTTCATCACTAGGTGGCAGCATTGAYACACAAACGTTTATCACGAGTGCATTTTTTATTTTTATTATTTAATTGCAGAAACAAAACCCTTCTTTCACTTATGAGGTCATTGTGGTTGATGATGGCAGCAAAGACAAAACCACAGAGGTAATTACTTTATTTTGATTTTATTTTTTTAATGAGTTCCCCTCATTGCTCAAAGTTTGCTTTGAATGCCGTCGTTGTGCCAGGTTGCTTTTCGCTACACCAAGAAGTACAGCGCAGATAAAGTGCGAGTGCTGACACTAGTGAAGAACAGAGGGAAAGGTGGAGCCGTACGGATGGTGAGGCTGTAGTGTCCCGATGCAGGGGGTTGGGGGAGTCGACTTTATGCTGATTATGTTAACACTCTGTTGTTGCTCTCTGGTTTTAAAAGGGAACTCTGAGCTCCAGAGGGAAACTCATCCTGATGGCAGACGCTGACGGAGCCACAAAGTTTTGTGACGTGGAGAAAGTAGAAGCCGGACTCAAAAACCTCAACGCCGGACCGGTGTGCTTTTTTTCTTCTGCTTCTGTGGTTCAGTTTCGTGTGTTGACTTTCAGAACTGCTCTAAAACGTGTCCTCTGTCATGGCAGGAGAACTTGGCCATCTCCTGTGGTTCCAGAGCTCACCTGGAGAAAGAAGCTGTTGCTCAGGTTTAATATTWGTCATGAACTCAATATTTTTGGGGTGTTTTAAAATGTTTTTGTTAATAAAAGCTTGTGTGTCTTTTTGTAGCGGTCTATGTTTCGTACATTCCTCATGTACGGCTTCCACTTCCTGGTGTGGTTCTTCTGTGTGAAGGGGATTCGGGACACACAGTGTGGCTTCAAGCTGTTCACGCGTGAAGCTGCGCTCAAGACCTTCTCCTGCCTCCATGTAGAGCGATGGTAAAAAAAAATACTTTCAAGAAAAGTTAATGATGCTTTATTGATATATTAGCAGTAGTAATGATCATTTGAGTGTGCTGTATCATTCTTAAAGTAATAATAAACCTGATGGAAGCTCTTTGAGCTGAAAGAGAAACCAGTTCCTGAACATCAGCTGATCACGTTCTTCTTTCTTCTCAGGGCTTTTGATGTGGAGCTCTTGTACATCGCTCAGTGTTTTAAAATCCCAATAGCAGAGGTGGCAGTTAACTGGACGGAAGTAGAAGGTTTGTAAAATGTCATTTCACTGTATGTGTCTGCAGGGTTTTTTTTTTTTCTTTAATCAACATTTTATTTTATTTTATTTTTTGGTTAAGTCTGCATGAAACTGCTGTTGTAAACGTTTTACTGTGCGGCCCTTCAGCAGTAAATCACAACAAACTGCTGCTGCCCCCCCCTCCCCCTCCCCCAATTTGTCTTTTTTAAAAGACTGAAATTGAAAATGAAATGCTCGTGTTCTGGTTCCCCTTAGGGTCCAAGCTGGTCCCGTTCTGGAGCTGGCTGCAAATGGGGCGGGACCTGATTCTCATTCGCCTGCGCTACATCACCGGAGCCTGGAAACTGCAGTCACCTCTTAAGACTGATTAGCCAATCAGAGACGGGATGTTAAAAAAGACCCTACTTTCAGTGACGAGGGATTTCTGACTCTGTCCATTTTTATTTTTTATTTTTATTTCTTAAGAAGTGAAGCAATGACACTGTTATTGAGTTCCTCATCATCCTGCCTTTATGTGGATAATAATGGCTTTTTATAGCTACTGTTACACACATTTCTGTCACCACAACTCATATAATGTCTGGATGGATGGTGGAGGATGAGGGTTATATTGTGCCTGATCAGCTGTAAATGAGGATTGTGGTGAACTGATCCTCTTACGTTGTTATTTTCACAAGGATATGATTTTTGTTTTCAAAGAAACACGACAGTGATGGGCTGAGAAACTTGAAACAAAATAAAATACATACTTTTCATCAGTGACCTGGTGTAACAGCTGTAGGGGTCCATTTATCAGATGCAGACAGCCGATTGGAGCAGTTTCTTATTCTCCATGATTTATTACAAAATATTGAAATGTTGCCTTTTTTTCAAAACAAAAGTAGATGAAAACCTCATGACAAATGCACGCAACAGATTTGTGTTCTCATTTAAAAAGACTTGATCTCTGTTTAGTTTAAACTGCTGCTGTTATGTTCCATAATTACGTCATATATTTAAGCTAAATAAGCTATTGTGCAAAAGCAGCATTAATTCTGTATTTTGGATGTAGTGAGTTAATTTTATTTTACATTTATCTTCATACACACTGCATGATGAGACATGACATCATACTACAACTCAACTCGTTCCAACTAGTTAGAATTAAAGTTTCTGGCTTTACCCAGAGGAAAATTCAAGACGTAAATGAAGCATGGCTTCTCTTTTTCAAACTTATTTGATTTAAAAGGAACCTGAAATTTTCTGGACTGCTTTGTTTCACCGCCATATTTGTCTTTTAATCATCCTCTGTGCACAGAACAGGGACGAGCTCAGCCAGCGTTTTTGTGGTGGCACTAAATGAGCTCTAAYAGTGATGTTTTCTTACACGAGCCTGAGGTCTAAATGATGTCTCTGGAGCCTGAAGGAGCCCCTGGGGAGTGCATCCTGTTTGTGTCCTGTCCTCCAGGAACAGACAAGAGACACAAGCGGGTGAATCATCATCAGCTGTGCGTTTCTTGCTTCCTGTCCCTGGAATCAGCTTTGTGTCACAAAAAGAGGATGAGATGTGTTCCTGTTTGTTTTAGTTGTTTTTCCTACTCTTGTTAAATCAGCTCCACCTGATCTGCAAACAAGTGTCTTTTAAAAAAAAAAACAATGGTGTGCTCATTGCAGCATCACTTTGGAAAGTCTTTATTTAATGCCACAGATATTGATTCAGATTATGACTTGATCCTTTACCTGGTGGGCATAGCCCTGTTTTATTTTATTTATATATTTATATTGTATTTCCTGACTGKGGTGGCAGGGTGGTTAGGACTCACAGCAGTTGCTGTAAACTGTGAAAATGTCAAACTTGTAGACTCTSTGTCGCCAGCCGAGTCTGCGTCATTAACTGGACCAGGCACGGCACTCCCGATAAAGGATTGTATCCATCCGCAAGAAGAAAGACATCCGTGTGGATTAAAAAAAAAAGGGAAGAAGAAGAAAGAAAACAAAAGTTGATATCCCCCATGAGGAAAGTTGGGGAATACATCTTATATAACTGTGGTTGTCTCTTTTTCAACTTTTTTTATTTTTATTTTACTCTACAGGTGCATTGTACTATTTATGGTGACAAGTTGTTGGACAGTTTATTTGTTGATGTTCCATAACAATGATGTAAAATATAATTCTAAGACGAACAGACTTGATTCGCTTCATAACACAAAACATTTTCACTTATTATAATAAATATAGGCCTATTGTTGAAATTAAACACCTAATCAGCCATTTACCAGAATTTTGTCCTAAATTCAGGACAGGAAAGCAAGTGTATCTTTCTCCTGTTTTTTTTATTTTTATTTTTTTTATGACGATGAATGAGGGCGCGTGCACGTCTCAGGTGGCGCGCGCGCACGCTTGATCAGAAATCCCTGAAATCCTGGGAAAGTTCCAGGAGGAGGTGGGGGAAGGCGGAGGGATCTTACAGGCATGCGCTGCGGTTCCAGCCAGGCTGACGCCGCCGAGGCTGTGTGGCGCTCCGGCTGCGGCTGCTGCCGGAGGAGCTGGAGTCTGTCTGAGCTTCTCCGACCTGCATCAATACCTACGTAGAGCGCAACACCGGAAGTCACCGAGCTTGACCCTTCAGAATAAAGACCACAAAGAAACTGCTAAAAATTAAAAGCATACTGTGTTGTACGAACCTTATTTCCTATCTTTAAACTTTTGAACTCACTGGAAAATGCTAACAATAAATTAGACTGATATTTTAATGGCATTTTCTTATTTTAAGTGTGCAAAAAAACATTTTTCTTTCAAGTGAACAAAAACAGCAAACGTTTTTATCCAGTCTTCTCAACCAAACAACACTCATGTTACAACACGAGAATTGTTTATAAGTCCCGAAATAGCAGGACTAAGGATGATTGTTTGG